TTTGTGCGGTTGTAGTCTTATGTTTTGCTTGACAAATGATATTCGTTTTATGTGTTTTTCGGAAATGACGGGATCAGTAGCTATTGGTCTTCCATCACCATAGCCTCCCCGTATAAGTTTTTTGTATCGTCGTCGATAATGTTTGCCTCTCCCTCCTCATTGGCTGACTCGTCATTTGTGTCATCGTGTGTTACGAGGCATCTGATTGTTTTTGTATCTTGCGCTGATGTATACTGTGTTTGTCCACTTGTCCCATTTATCGGTCGTTGGGCTGATTGTCGCGGACCTGATTGTTGAGTGCTATTTTGTTGTATAGACCCCGTATGTGCATATCGGTCCCTGACTTGCTGCGAATTATTGCCATTCGTGTTACCGTACCGACTAGTGAATGGTTGTTTATTAGTTGTCGTTTGCTGATCGGTACTGTTCTGTTTGTTATGACTATTTTCTAATTCTCCCAATTTTTCCCATATATTAAGGAACTTTTTCTCTTGCGTTGTCTGTATGTAAGCCTGAATGGCTATAGGGAAATGCTTTGTTATTAGGTTAATGGCTTGTAATTCGTCCATTTTTGGAGAGTCCAGGTGCTTAAGCTCTGTCATCCAATAATTGAAATGTTCCTGGAAATTATTGTTTATTGGTTTTTTTCCTGCTTCCGTGCACTTTATAAATGTGTCCCATTGACGGTCTTCCGAGAAGAAGTGTTTCAAAAACAGTGTCTTAAACGTATCTTCGTTCGGTGCCACGTCTTTGATCATGGTGAACCATTTTGCCGCTTTCCCTCTCATGCAATTTTCGATTGTAGTTATTCGATCAACTTGGGTGATGTGTTTGTGCAATAAGTACGAGTTCAGGTTTTTCAAGAATTGTTTCGGGTGCTCGCTCGGTTCGCCACTGAAAGTTGGCATCGTTAGTTCGATGTTGCTTGCCCTTGTACTTGCGTTGTCTTGACTCGCTGTTTTTACCAATTGGATGTCCCTCTCACGTCTTGCTGCTTCGATCGTTATTTTTGTATCCGTGTCATTGATTAGTTGTTTAATTATATCCGTAGCGTCTCGTAACTCCCTAGTTAGGTTTTCGAGTGCGGTGTTCTGGGTATTTACTTTCTCCTGTAGCAGTTGCATCGTGTCTTCCAGTTGCTGGATCCGATCTGCATGCGTACTCTTCACCATTTTGTCGGTGTAATCTCGGGGTCGTGGCCTTCTTGCCACTGGTTGGGCGCCAGTTGAAACGGTGCGTCCGATTGGACGACCCGTGTCGTAAATAAAATAACAATTGTGTGCTCGATAATCAAGTTTTTCTATTGCTTGGTTAAATTATAATTTATATTTACAATGTTGGGACAAGTAAAGCGTCGATTTGTGCCGACCGGACTTAAATAAGTGAGTCGGCACAATCGGAGGCGCTTGGGTATTGTGGTCGGACAATTGTCGGACCCTATCTTCACAAGTGTTTTTATAACGATTTATATAAGTTATACAATATGATAGGCTAGGAAGCCGGCCGTCGTCGGTGCAGACTTAAGTCAAGCGGCACCCCGACGACGAACCAGACTTGGGTCGGATAACTTAATTAAGTGCCGAGGTTGGGGTCGTGGTGGCCCTGAAAAGGGCCTTTTAATGTTGTCACGCCGTGAGTGGTCGGCCTATCCGGTGATCCCGTAGGCTGGGGTGGTTGAGTGGCGGTCGGGCGGCCTCGTCACGGCAAGAGTACACTGACACTGGTCTCTCCCCGTTGAGCGGCAGTCACGGGGTCGGTTGGTCCTGACGATGATGGCGTTGTTGATCGACCGATCTTTGCGCCCGTAGATAGGTGGTCGACGGGTCGTTATTGTTCGGCAGTTGAATGACGTTTACAGCCGTGGAGCGGCGTCGTTGTCGATATGCGTCGGTATGATGATATACGCAATCGGGAACGGCGGTGGTCTGCGGTTGAATGGCGCTGGTAGCCGTGGAGCGGCGTCGTTGTCGATATGCGTCGGTATGATGATATACGCAATCGGGAACGGCGGTGGTCTGCGGTCGAATGGCGCTGGTAGCCGTGGAGCGGCGTCGTTGTCGATATGCGTCGGTATGATGATATACGCAATCGGGAACGGCGGTGGTCTGCGGTCGAATGGCGCTGGTAGCCGTGGAGCGGCGTTGTCGTCGGTCTTCGGCGGTCGATTTCTGGTCCTGGTCTTCTTGCTATCGGAACGTTTCTTGGAGATGTTGATAGTTTGAAGGATTGAAGTGGACTGACTAGATTGTCGAGAGTGTCCGGTATTTATACCCTTTTCGACAATCTAGTCCATCGTTGATTGGTCCGTGTAATATGTTTTAGACGAGTGAAAATCACACCGTTGAACGGACATTCCTATCTATCATGTGTGATTTTCACTCGTCATATCGTGTCTTTTTTTCCAATAGTCTTTCCTTGGTGGGTGTTTGTTCCGTAACAACACCCACTCGCCCACCTTTTTTTATATTTTAGATATTTTTGGATATTTAAAATTATTTGTTAAATAATAAATTTAAATTTAAAATATTTATTCTCGTCAAGAATTTACTAAAATTGAAAAAGTGCTCCTACCGATGCAAAGTAAACTTGTTTACCAACACATTCATCTTTACATTTTTTAAATCGAACCACTAGAACATACCTACCTTAATTTTTGTCAGTGCGACGGCTATTTCACGTACTCATAAACCAGATAAGAAATAACAATTAATTAACAATTAAGAATTAACAATCATTTACTACACATACAAAGACGATTAGTGTTCGAAGGAATTTAATAATTGCATAAACACAACTCCTTAAAAATGACAAATTTGCATCGGCCTTAAATGTCAATAATTATAAGTTTATGTTAAATAAATAAAATACTCGAAAACGAGATAACACTGAAGTATATTATTGGATTTGGATATGTTCTAAAAAATGTGCTTGACTTTTAGAACTATTGTTGTAAACAATGAACACATAAAATATAACTCTTGCGTAGTAAAGGAGCGCTCTCACGGTCCAGATCCAATCAAAACTGAATGTAAAAAAATTAAAGAAAATATCAAAAAAGCCTCAGAAAATTAAATTATAAATAATAATAATAATAATACATTTTTATACCGATTGACCGATTGTGTAGTGTATTATAGTATCACATTTAAGATAAGATAGATAGATAAAATAATTTATTGACCAAAAATAAATATTAAAATAAACATTAATTAATACAAATTACACTGTTATATACAGTTATTAAAGATATTATTTATAAATTGTTTTGCTTAATTGGCCCAATTCACCACTGAGGTATACCTCTTATTGGCGAAATTGGAGTTCTAAGTCATTTTACATATGTGCGTTAGTATTAATAGAATAAAATAAAATAAGATAAAATAAGACTAAGTTGAATAAAATAAAATAAGAATATAAGAAACAATTATTAAATATTAAATATTAAATTTTTTAAAAGTTTATACTAAATTATAAATTAGAAAAAAAAGAAAGAAAAATATATATATATATATAGTAATAATTACTTAAACAATATTAATAATATAATAAAGCAATAAATTAAGATAGGATATAAAATAATAATTAAGGAGAGAATTTATTTATCGTATATTTGGTTAGTTATCCATATATTTACAATTTTTTTGTAATTTTTGTAGTTGTTACAGTTTAGTACAGAAATAGGCATACTAAATCTAGCCCTATTTTGACAAAGTGTCTGTTTGAATTTGCAGTTTTATAGGTTTTGGTCATTATGTAATTTTCTTTTCGTGTATGGTAGGTTTTTGGTTTGGTGTCAATAAGATTTAATTTGTAGACATAGTATAATGAATTTCTTTGGAAGAGTTGTTGTACATTTAGACATTTAAAATCATTGAATATGTATTCACTTGGAAAGGTTTTTGGTTGTACTTATAGTTAAATTATAAATAATAATAACAATAATACATTTTTATACCGTAAAATTAAATTTTTTTGATTTCCTAATTAAAATAATATCCGAACATTTAAACTTTTTAACAGATAACATTCGAACACTTTTAATTCAGACACACTCATTAACACATAATATTCGAACATTTAAATTGTCTAACATATAAAATTCGAACTCTTTTCATTCATACACATAATAATTATCGAACAAACGACCTCTCGCCTTCGTAAAGGCAGGCAGTAATATTAGCTTTATTAATAATTGTTAAAAATCAATACAAATTTTACAAAACTCGACAAGCTAATACCAAAATCCCGTCATAATAAGTAATAACACACAAAAAGCGTACCTATATTCAAAAATTATTAAGGTGACACAAATTTTATTAGTTATTACCATGGCTCTTTTTTATAGGTAAGTAGTAATAAAACATAGTGATATATTAAAATCATAGTATATGTTATAATGAGTGTTCCGTGAGTAAGGCATGGGATTCTTCCTATGCACAGGTGTGACCAAATGGCAAATGGCAAATATTATACCTAACATATTAATATACACTAGCAATATTATTTAAATTACATTAAATTATAATAGTAATATAATGTGCGCTTGTCATTATATTAAATGTAATATAATTGAAAAAAATCTTTTTTTTAATGGAAAAATGCGTGTCCATATAATTATTATAACTACCTAGTTAAATTATTGTAAAAAGTAAAATGTTCCATTAAAAAAAAACGGATCAGAACTGAGAATAATACATTATACAAATCTAAATACCCAAAATCTAATTTCTTATAATTTATAATAATGTATCAATAGGTAATTATAGGCCTTTGGAAAAATAAACACGCCTGAAATTCTAATATAAATTCTGGTCTACTGGAATGATGAACGTAATCGCTGGCTGGTAATAAACGACGTCGTAGGTACCTACTCGTCGTCAAGGATATTTTCGAATTTCCCGTTTACCGTGTCGGAAGGCACCGAAATGTAGTTCATTAGTAATAATTCAGAGTTCAATAATCATTCGTCAACACTCGACATTGAAATACACGAAAATAAGATGGTGACAATCACCCGTCGACGTTATAGTCTTGATTATATCGCTGCCGTTACCGTACTCGAAGTCTTAGGATGTATCATAATAATATTATATCCCAAGACTTCGATGATCGATACCATTTTTAATAACGTACTGATGTATAGCGAGCGACGAGGGAGAGACGTCGTTGTCAGAGTCGCGGACTGCTGCGCGGCCATCGGTGATACGCCGTCAGGCGTTGGCGCGCCGTCAGCGGAGTTGCCGCCCGCCGATACTGCAGCAATAGATTATTATTATCCGGTTTTGGATGAAGTTGACGAGCCGGCTGAGGGCGTTGAAGTCACGTGAACAGTTTCGAGGAGTTATAGTCGGTTGGCTGGATCCGGAAGCAATACACTCGCGGACAACGAGCTCCTGCACAGTGCCGACGGAGTAGTTTTTCTTCGGTGAGGCGACAGCTGGTTAAACGCGTTTGTTTCGCCGAACATCGCAGTCGAAGACGCTTTCGCGGAGAGGACGACGGCTGCGCAACGGGACCGGAGGATGAAGAGAAACAGCACAGCGCATGTTCTCCGTATAAAACTGCAAATTCAAACAGACACTTTGTCAAAATAGGGCTAGATTTATTAAATAGTATGCCTATTTCTGTACTAAACTGTAACAACTACAAAAATTACATAATAAAATTTCAAATGTTGGCTTGAGAATAGTATTAGATATCATATAAAATAAATGGGAAAATGACGTATATAATAATTATTATTTATTACCTATTGAGTTTGATGTATACACAATAGACATATAGTATTACCTAATATAGGTATTTTCAATTTTGTAGATAGCCTGTATCCAGGGTACCTAATACTAGTAATGCCCACCCGCATCTAATAATAATTAATAGTTATAAATTTGTGATTATTGTCTATTTATGTATATACAATATACATACAGTACATCTATATTATATACATTATACATATTATTATACATAAACGAGCCATATTGGATATAAATGTATACCTAATCATATATTATGTTTATCATTGTCATAATATTATATTATTATATTATACTTAAATAATATTAATATAAATTTATATTTATATAATTATATGTAGGTACTTATATAATTGTATACGGGTCTCGACGTTCGTGTACCTACTTAATTAGTTCTCTTGTAAGCCATAACTCATTACCCAGTGACATTTTAACGCATACGCCACACATCCATTCTGATCCCGAGAAATACTTTATTACCTACTTGAAATTATTAAAATAACTCTCTATATTTTTTTTGTCTATAGCTGGTTACACACGGAGCGGTTTTTATCCGCCGCGGATTTTCTTTAAAAATTAAACACCTATATTTAAATGGGTACATTCAAACGAATTAAAATGGCTAGCGGACGACCGCGGTTTTCGGCGGTCGACCGCCTGGGCCCTGGAATCGCGCTTGTTCAATTTTCGGGCGGTCGACCGCATCCGCTAGCTAAAATTTAACTGTGGATTTCCAATGGCCATATTCATACGAGGTGGATCGTCCGCCAACCGCCACGGTTTTTTCCAGCGTATTTGTCATTTATGAATATTCAGTTGACGTGTGTGCACTGAATATTTTTATTTTAGTAATATTTTAATGTTCCAGCCATTATTAATTAATATTTTTTATTAATTCATATAGGTAGAATATGTTTTTTTAGATACATAGTACTACCTACTATACCTACAGTCATATTATAATATCAATAATATCATAATTAAATTTTACATTTAAAATGCCGTTCGATACCGAACAATTTATTTTAGAAATACAGCAAAATAACTGTATATGGGATAAACGTAAGTATCGTATCGTTTAATAATTATTTTATTAATTAGCACTTATTAATTACACATAGATTAAAAAGTAAAAACATATCTTTCTTTCTATACGTATTATTAAGATATATTTATTTATCTAATATATGATATTATAATAGAGGCAAAAAGTCATCATGATTTGCAACAGCTACATGTTGGTTGGACAAATGTAGCCAAGACTATTGTTCTGAAAAGTTTGAAGAACTTGATGACAGCAAGAAGGCAGAAAAAGTAAGATTTCATATTATTATATATAATTATATAAGAAAAAAAATAGCAATACATTTTGATCAATACTTGTTAGTTTATATACACTTAACATTTGAATTGTATACGTGGATCCTTACTTACTAAGGGTAGATAACAATATTGCAATACTGATGGTTAATAAAAAATAATCATAACGGTTTTGTACTTTTGTATATATTTTATAAGTCAAGTAACCTCTACATATTTATGAATGGCGTATACAATAAACTCATATGAAATTATAAAATAAGGCACAAAATAAATATAAGCTTAGGTAAAATATAAGTATAAAATATACGTAAATGTGTTTTACAAACAAAATTAGTAAAATGATAAAAACATAATTTTTTGGACATAAGTGGTAATTGGTTTACTTACCAATTATTTTATTATGCCAGCTAAGCGCATTATTTGGGTGGTTGACATACGTATTTTACAAAATACTCCCTGACATCCTTCGCATTTGTCTGAGCATTGTCAACTCCTCTTCTCTCAGTTATGCTATCCATACCACCATTCAAGCTATCCTCAAAATTAAACCCATCACGGCGTCTCACAAAGTTGTGTAAGACACAACAGGCTTTGGTAATTTTAACCGCAAAATTTGGTTCCACTAGCATGCTCGTTTGAAACACTCTCCATTTTTTTAACAAAATTCCAAACGAACACTCAATGTACTGACGGGCTCTAGACAAACGATAATTAAAAATCCGTCGTTCGTCATTTAAAGTTCTGCCAGGAAACGGTCGCAATAAATTTTTATTGAGAGCAAAAGCCTCATCATCAGCCACCAGTATAAATGGTTGTGGTACGCCTTGATCATCCCCAGGTAGACATCGTTCGGGTGGAAAGTTTGTTTTATCGGAATATAACTTTTTACCGAATGGTGACATTTTAAAAACATTGCAATCACTTTCTTTGCCGTAAGATCCTACATTAATTATGCGAAAACAATAATTTGAGTCGCAAATGGCCATAAGTATAAGTGAAAAAAAATTTTTGTAATTGTAATACAGAGACCCACTATTTTTGGGGCATTCTAGCTGTATGTGTTTTCCATCAACCTGTAATTATTAATAAAAAAATTTTTTTTTGTTATTTGCTGCAGTCAAATTATCAATTTGTTAACCTACATAATATTATTATTATTAGTTAATTTATCAGGTATAGGAACATGCAACATGTAATGATTTCTTAATAATTTTTTACATATACACACACATTTTAAAAATTACAGTACCCTCCCTCACAGTACCCTAGGCTAATAGCCTTAGTTATCGAACTAAGACTAACTTAACACAAATAAAAAAAAATATTTTTTTAAAATTAATAATTTTAAAACACATTCTAAAAATGTATAATTTTGTTTTGCATATTATTTACCTAGATGTTTTTTTATTTTTCGAAGGTTGATATAAATAACTATCTAATCATTAAAAAACAAATCAAATATTTGTATTTTATGTTATTTAAGACAAACAAAACAATAAATTTGTGTTAGTCAATATATAGGTTACTCACCGCCCCGACTGTATTTGGAAACTGGGTCTTATCAAAATATCCTGATGCTATATCCAGCCAATCATCAGTTGTGGGCTCTGACATCTCAATTGGCTGTAATATATAATATATAATATATAACCTCGCATGTTTCCTGTACTATATTCGATATGGTCGACACTCCCATTAGAAACTCGAAATGTAATGCTGAGAAATGTGTTCCACAAGCCAAATATCTGAATATTATAATATGGTACAAAAAAAATTACCAAAACAACATCGATATTTTTAATGAGCGTTTGAATTTAAAAATGTTACGATATTTGATATCATCCCTTAAAACAACTATATTTCTTAGAAATATTTTTTAGAATTTAGTTGTAATTTAAAAACCTAATACCGTAGATACTATTTTTACACAATTATTTAGGCACCTACTATACATGTACATGATCAATATTTTTCAATTTTTTTTTATTCTTTTTGAGCTATTTATAAGCATGAGAGACTTTAGACTTTCTTCAGTGGATCAATGAATGTATTGACTTTACAATGATGTGTGTTTTTTTATATTTTTTTTATTAAGACATTGGTCAGAAATTCAGAATATAAAATGTTATAATTTTTTGCTCGGTGAAAAAAATTGAAAATTTTAATACATCGTTTCTTATTATTTGTATATATTATTGTGTATTATGGTTGAGGACTGTCACTATTAAATATTTTATGTTTTGGTTTTTTAATTAGTAAAAGAACTTAAAATTAAGTGGAAAAATATTCGAGATGCTTATAGAAAAAAATGTATTACGAAATCTGGTCAAGCCGCTAAAAACAATAAAAAAATATATTTACTCAGACATCTTGGAGTTTATGAGACCTACAATGGAAAACAGAATGTAATATACACTTAATATTATATTTTATTATTTTAAACTTTCATGTTTTCTTTTTTATTTGCTTACTTATTATGTTATACAGGACTGAAGGTAATGTTATCGAAAGTGATGAGGATGAAAGAGATGACGATGAATCAATTTTAGTAAGAGGCACGGGTGTTGATATATCAACACTAGACACTGGAGAAGATTTTGAAGTCCAACCAAAAAAGAAAAAAACGAAAAACACGTTTGAAGAAAAATTATTGACAGTGTTGGCAAATCGCCGTGTTGAAGATCCGGTGACTTCATTTCTTATGTCCTTAGCTCCACAAATTAGATCGCTAACACAGGACCAACAAAATGAAGTTTACATTGAATTTATAAAAAGTATAAGAAAAGTTAAAAATTCAAACAATGCTTATCAGTCTCAACCACCATACATTCCTCCTCCAGTGAAAAATGACTATCCTAAACCCTCAGAACATTCCTTTTTGCCCAATGACGTTTTCTACTCGTATCCTCAATACCCACCTTACCATAGTGCACCTTTTTCTTCTTCTACTTCAACTATACCAACATCTGCTGTTCAAACAAATGCTTGTCACTCTGCCAATCTTCCATACTATTCTCAACTCAATTCTCCTTTATCCACTCCTCCAACTACATCTGCATCTACTCCATCAAGCTCTAACAATAATTATTGATTTTTTTTTTGGAACTCACAGGTAGTGTGATATGTTTTTTTTCTAATTAAATATTTGGAAAGTACCTAATTTTGTTTATTTTTTATGAACTATACTATTAATTTGTTGAGTAAAGTACATTTTTTTACAGATACTATTCAATTTTTAAGTATTTAATTTTAATTTGATTTATATTGTTATAACCATCAATGAAATCATGTAGGTATGGAGTATTATTATTATACAATTTGTGTATCAATGTAGTTTAATTGCTTTTTTTTTTTAAAAAAATACCAATTCAAAAATATCATGTATTACTTATGTTATAATATAGATACCTACTATTTAACAATTCATAATAACATTAGTAAATGTAAATATTATCATTTATCAAACATACATTACGATTTACATTTCTTCTCGTAGAAACTAGCATTATTAAAAGTTTGTAAAGATTCATAAACTTACTAAGAAAATATGTATTAGGTATAATATAATTGATGGCTTTACCAACGTGACAGTTAACCTCTCCAGAGGAGAAATTGAGATACTCATATTTGTATGTTGTTTTTGGAGGTAGTGTCCAGTGATTAAAACCTGATAATTGATTATATACAAATAATAAATATATATATATATATTATATATATAAACTTAATAATAATTAATTTATAAGAAATTGTAAACTATTATAACAAATTAACTTACCAGTTCGTCAAAAGATTGAATGCTCATTCGATAATATTTCAAAAATTGTTCAGGGTGTGCTCGTAATGTCATAAAATTTACGTAAAATTGGCCATCTTGTGGCCTTTTTAGATTTAATGGATGTACCCAATAACGCCTTTTTACATTTTTCTGTTGCTTTTTGTGCCTTTTATTTAGAGCATATGTGACGCATATTGCTTCAACATGGTCTAACGTATCCATTGTTGAAAAAATTGCTTTTTAATAAAGAAATGCGAATTATCCCAGAACTAACTCTGGCTAGCGTAGTAACGTCGTGTTTCAACCACGTTCTAAGCTCAACTGATTTTGTTACAAATTAGTGTGAATAATAAATTGGCGCGAAATATTTAAAATATAAGTAAACCGCATTCATAATCCGCCTCGTGTGTAAGCAAACCGCGGATGCGGCCGCGGACGTAATAGCGATCGAAATCAACGTCCGCGCGCGGTCATTCCGCCTCGTGTGTAAGTGAACCTAGGCACGGATGCGGTCGCGGACGCAGTCTCAAAAAGAATCCGCGTCCGCGTGCGGCTAAACCGCTCCGTGTGTAACCAGCTTATCAAGTACCTATTAGAATTTAATTATAATTTAGAATAGTATTTACTATTTACTATTTACTAAGGTTTTATTAACAAATTAAAGAAAATTGACCTTAAATTATTCTTAAAAAAACAACAATCAATATAAATAAAAATATTATTTTATTTATTCAAACATAATGAATCATAAACTGCCCACCCTAAATCCTCAGTAAATATTGCCAAGCATAACTACATGGTTGGCCACATGGGCACGGAAATCTGAGCTTGATATAAATTCCAAATTTGTTAATAATTTTGTAGGTAACCTATTTTTCTTACAGATCCAAAAATAATTAAAATTTTAATTAAGTTAATTTTAACTTAGTTAATTTTTTTTTTCATTAATTTTTAACTTAACGAAGTTATAAAAAAAAACATTAGTTAACTTTTACTTAACTTAACTTACTTTTTCTTATATTAACTTAACTTAACGAGTTAAAAAAAATCGTTAACTTGCCCAGCCTTGATATTAGTGATCTTAGAGCCGGAAAATGTGTCAGAGTCTATTACTTTAACAATATAATTTAATCGTGATGATAATCGAGTTGCTAAATTCGCAGATAATTTAATGACAGGAAAAGATCCTATTTTTCCGCTTATGTGTGGGCCTCAGCATTAGTTGATAGTTGATACAACAATTAGAGCATGTCAATCATTTCATGCACATTTTAATTCAAGTTTCAATTCAACTCACCCCAATTATTATAATAATATATTCCGTAATTACAAAATTAAAAGAATTACAAACACGAACATTAAAATCAACAGCCTAAATTCACCGTTATAATTTAAAAAAAAAAATTCTTAGAAAGAAAACTTACAAAATATAATAAAAAGGAAATATTCGTGAGTGAATAGGTACGTCAAAAACATAGATTTCTATTATAACCTTACGTTATTAGTCATTACAGTACAGTTTTACTTATATTTTTACACTTTTTTACACTACAATTTTACATGAATACATTTTACTTATATTTTTTAATACTGAAACATATTACTCATAGGCGTAACTAGACATAATCCACAGCTGCAGCCTAGAGGCCGAATTTTTTTAAAGCCCCATCAACAATTAAATATTTATATATTTTAAATAGTCTGCAGTATTATACTGTTATCTATTTTAAATTTAACTCCAAAATTATTTTCATTTATAGTACACTAATGTTTACACCACCTAGCTACAAATCATAAAATAATAAAACAATATTATACAATAATAGGTGCCGTCCTCTGTCTTGGCAGTTTCTTGCCAATTTTTCAAGAAATAAATGAAATTACTTACGAAAAACTACCTACTCTATGTGGCCTAGTGGTATGCATTTTTATCCATTAAATAATTTTATAATAATATATAATATACATTTTATTATTTTAATGATACTAAAATTATAATATCTTAATCCGTGCGGCAATAAAAAAATTATGTTATAATTTTGGAATCTATGATTATGTTAAAATACTTACTGTGATGTTTGATCGATATTATATTGCTATATATATATGTATTTATATGTATATCGATCCCTATTATGTGATATTTATCTATCAAACGTTTTTAAATTATGTATTTGAGATTTGGTATTTTTGAGAGACATTTTGAATAATTTACCTCCTGGGCCCTTTAGATCCCAGGCCGACTCTGGTCTTAAGTCTTCGTTGTTTAGGTTGTTCCGAAATCGGGAAATCACCTCGACAATATATGTTATTAATAAAAATAAATATAAAATAAAAATAGGATCTACATAATATTGTCGAACATATCTTTATAAGTAAATAGGTAGTAATTTATTATAATAATCCATCAGAGTTTTTTTTTTTGATTCAAATTTGTTATCTTTATCTCACTTAATATTCGGTTGACCGGCGTGTTTCGAAAATTGCAGCGGCAGCCCAGACACCCTCTATAGCCACTGTAGACACGCCTATGATATTACTTAAATCTAGGTCTTTAAATCTTTACAATTTGCAAAAAATAAATGTTGAATTTAAAAATAATTAATAAGTAGTACTCGTTAAATCAAAAATTTAATAAAAAATTTAGTACTTGTTTGAATTAGATTAAATAGTTCGGAGTGCAAACATCATGGACTTGTATAGGTATATGTTTAGGCTTAATTTAATAACAATAAGAGAAAATTAGTTTTCACTTGATGGATTCTAATAATCAATTTGCCATTATTTGCAATTAGACACCGGTTTGAAGTCGACCGGACGAGTATGTGGGGCTAACTTTAGTATTGTATGAGGTACAAACGATCGGTATGTGTTTAAACTCGAAATTCAAATGTGGAAATGCAGCGTTTCCTCGGCACCCTCACCTAAGAAATTTGGAATAACTTTAAAACCGTTAATGTACAAACGATTTTACTTGAGGTACAAACACGTACAAACGAGGTACAAACGATTTGTATAGGTTAAAGGTCTTGAATCAAAATTTCGAGGTTTGGGTGCTGGGGACATGGAGCTCTCTCTATTAATATTACGTCTCACCATACTACGTATGCATGCAGCTGGCCATGCTTATGCCTTCATGAGACCCTGGTAGTCGGTGGCGCTTAAATAGACTGTCTTCATTGTTGGCGCCTCGGGAATCATCCTTTTGTTGTAAAACGAAAGCCGTTTAGGATAAACGGTAGCTAAATGCGCTATTGTGTTATTGTTGTCTAGTTCTATACTAAGCTACTGCAGGCTACCACACTCGCTGCAGTGACCAGCGTGTAAATTGGCTGTGTTCGTCAAGAGCCCGCACCAGGGGCGGACTGGGAGATTATCGGCCCAGGGGGAAATATAGCTTAGCGGCCCTAAATATTTTACTATATTATTACTATTTCAGTTGTGATTTTATAAATATTATGAATGTTTTATTACTATAATTTAAAATAAATGTAAATTTTACTTGTAGAACTATTTAAAAAAAAATATAAATACCTTTATAAAATACAATTTCCTTTATTTATCTTATGAACATAATATTATGTTAGTTTCATCGATAACAAAAATAATAAATGATTTTTAATTACATACATTTATATTACATAAAATATAGTAATAGAGTAAACGAGTAAAGAATAGATCCGCAATTATTTATTAAGTCTAAATACAAACCAGTTGGAAATTGATCGCATGTCAATGACTAATAGAAATATATTATTAATTATTATTTATTAGTTGACTACTTGACTAAATATATTATACAAGTTTATTGTTGGACGACCGGCCCAAATTTCCCAATTTAGACCAGCCCAGGGGGATATTTCCCCCAGTGGCGTAGCGTGGGTTTCAGCTTAGCGTATGCGTTGAAATAGTAAGTTAATGGAATCGTTGGGGGCTATGCCCCCCACATCCCCTATACTGTTTTTAAAATTTTACTTTAAGCATACAAAGTATTACTTATCCATTAATATATATTACATTACCTAGTACATAACAAAATATTATATTCAATAAATAAAAAGTAAATCACTTTTTAAAAATTAATGCACGTTATAACTTATAATAGACTGTCAACGATAGCGTATGCAATACTGATCCCGCATACACGAGTGACGAATATACGACCATAAGCGTTCTATGTTTTGTTATTAATATTATCGATAAGAACTATAAATAACTGCAGTCGCTGAAAGTCTGTACCCGTATGCAACCGCCTACTTGCATACTGCTTACATAATGTTTGTTATCATTATTATTCTGTAATTATTATCTTA